AGGAACTAAAAGTACATCATTCAGTCTAAAGGTAGCATTATTTGTACAAATAAGAGCATAACCAATATGAGAAATGCACTTACCTTTTCCATCACCAACAAAGAGTTGATCAATGCCAGAATAAAGAATGGTATAGTTGAGAGTGGATGGATCAGGTGTGACATGATAAGAAGCACCGCTATTAGTGAGCCAATATCTAGGAAGTGCATGAGAGGTCATGGCAGACATTGAAGTAGGAGGTGCCGAGGAGAAAACTTGACCATAAGCTGAGTTTGATGAAAATTGAGAGAGATGATTGCATGTAGGAGCCCAATAACCATATTATATACATGGCTGACATTGGACAGAACGACTAGGGAAGGAAAATTGATCAAAATTTTGTCGAGAAAGACCAGCACCAAGAAAGCCACCTGAGGTGTTTTTGTAGTTGTTAGGTTTATTTCCCCAAAATTACGATTCTGATTATACTGATTTCGGTTTTGGAAACGACCACGAGAATTGCCTTTGTTAGAATTTTCACTAGAATTGTTGGATCGAACAACGTAGGCATGAAATGGTGTAGAAGATGAAGAAGAAACTCTGACTTTGCATTTTTGGAGCGAGATCTCTTTGCTCAATAGGAGACCATGAAGTTTATCAGCAGTCACAAATTCATTGTAAATCTCAATAAAGTCAACAAAAGACTCATATTCATTAGAAAGTCTAGATATAATGTATGTTACAAGATTGGATTTAGAATGTGGTTTACCAGTAGCAGCAAGTTTATCAGAGATATCTTTGATCAAATTGAGAAAATCAATCATGGAAGAGTCACCTTTCTAAATCGTTTGGATCTTCGATCGAAGACTATGAACATGTATGCGTGAAGCACCAGAGAAACGCAGCTCAAGAGATTGCCAGAGAGATCGAGAGTCATTCATTCCAATAATCATAGGAAGAAGATTTTGAGAGAGTGTAAAGTTAATCCAAATCATCAGATTTGACCACGCTCACACCAGGTCTCAAAAGATTTGTTAAGAACACGAGCTCTAGTGGAATTATGAACAAATTCAGGAGGACAGAGATCCTCTCCATTGATGAGTCCAAGAAGCTTGAATTGTTTCAGTACAAGGATGAAAAGACTGCACCAAGTGATGTAGTTCTGACGATTGAGCTTCGTCGAAACCATTCCAGCTATATTTGCAATGGAAATTGATTAAATCAACATGATCGGAGGATTAGAGATCTCACTGTGAGGGAGATGCACTGGAAAAATAGGGTTTGGCGGAGATGGAGGAATCAGCAGAAAAGTAGAATTCGAAGAGTTCACAACAGTCGACATATCAAGATTTGCTTAATTGAGAGAAGAGGAGAAGAAGTTAGAGAATCAACGACCTGTTTGGGAGATGAGAAAATTTAAGAAACGCATTTCAAGAAGAAGAGGGAAGCGTTGGATCGTAGTCGGTTGGACAATGGTGATGATACCATGTAGAAACTAAGAATCTAGATAGAGATTCAGTTATAGAGAGAGAGAGAATTGTAGAGAGTGACTAAAATAAGATTGTGATTTTCATTAACTCAACAGATCATTACACAAGGTATTTATACATAAATATCATATCCCAACAATATATGCCTAGTTCAGCATAATGTATAACTAATCACTAATCATCCTAAGCTTAACAGCTAAGCTAGAATCTAATATGGTGGTTTAGGTGCATTGTATTTCTCTTAACATTGAGCACCAACTAGTGACTACTTTCCTCTTAGTCCAGTAGTGCTTTTCTTCCTAACGTCAGCACAAATAGTACTTCTCTTGTGCCACTCAGTACTACGGTCTAGCGGTATTCTTCCACTTGTAAGTGAGAGGTCTAGATTCAATTCTTGCCAAAAGAAAATTTGAACCACATTATTGCTAGATAGAAGAGGAAAAGGAAACTGAATAGATTTGTTAGATAGAAAAATAAGAACTAACCATTGCATCCTGGGCTGTTATTTCTTCTCTAAAATCCAGCCTTGGCCGAGCATCGATCAACCTCGCCAGACTCTCTAATTGTCTTGCTGTTATTAGTGACATAGCGTGGTCTCTCGATTTTAAGTAAGATTTTTGTAGCTGTAGGCTTTGAAATCGTGGTTCACCCAAAGTTGAAAATTGAGAGTATAAAAACTGAAGCATTTGATAACTCTTGCAAGAGAAAATGGATGCACAAGAGTTGCAGAAGGTCGTGAAATTCACCTAGGAACACACAATTTTTCTTGCATAAGCAATATACTCACGGAGAAGTTGTACTGGTAATGGAACAAAATCAACATCCTTTTGTGGGTCAAGCCTCAATCTTAAAACCAAATAACCTTCTCCACTAGTATCTATGTCTTTTGCACTCTCTGATGTTGTTTGAAGTAGAAGGCAATATCTTGATTTTTTTTAGTACAACGTTATATTTACAAAAAAGGGAGGGGAATTTGGTTAAGCCACAAAATGAACAACCTAATTTAGTATCGAATTCGCTGTCTACGAGATTCGAACCCAAGGCCTCTCACTTACAAGTGAAGAGGAATACCATCAGATCATAGTGCTGAGTGGCAGCAATATCTTGTTAAATAGAGAAGATTTTGTATGTGGAACTGCATGACCAACTTATTGTCCACATCATCACTTAAGTGACGAATATTGTTCTTTATCACTTTATTTATCACGGGGTTGGATAAGTTTAAATTTCGAGATCTGTAGATACATACTAATCTTAAAATTTAAATGCACCCAATGATAATAAGTAGGATGGTGAGCGTGACTGACACTTCGAGAGTGGCAAACAAAAACACACCTAGTGAACCTAATAATTGTCCACTTCTCAAAACTTGAGTTAATTATTTAAAATGTTCTAAAATATTAGAATCCATGTAAAATCACTCCAATAAGTAGTCATTTGGACTTAACCTAAAAATAATTAGAGAATTTTATTTGAATCCGTGCAAATTCGTTCTACATCCAGCTTACTCTTACACCCACATTATTTTTCGTTAGATTATCAATATCTCTTTAAACTCAAATTTACTACCTAAACTGTCCCCACAAACCTAGTTGAATATGTAAATTTGTCTTTTATATCCACTTGAAGAATAAAAAAACCAAAATCAAAACATTCTTTGCTTGGCCATTCTCTCTATGCTACAATTGCTTTTGATGGAGTCTTCATCACCCTCTCCAGTGTAGCTCTCAATAAATCTCAAGTTGCTTTGCCTAACCATGTCAAACAAGCCGTCCTCTCTAAACTATCCTCTTCCATTTATTTTGACTTCTCCAACACACTCACTAGTGTTCTCATACATTTGAGTTTGAGTTCACCATGTTATTGTGATTTATCCACTTTGTAAGGCTTCTCCAACACACTTCGATATCATTGTGATTTCTAACTAATCAAGGAATTGGTCCACACAAAATTTTAACCTCATCAGATAATTAAAAGTATGTGACTATAATGCACTTGATTTAAATCATTACTGACGGTTCTAAATCTCAAAACTCATCCAGGGAACAAAATGCTAATTTTAGCCAATTTAGCGAGCCTTAGGGTTGGTTTGGGATTATGGTGTTTAAAAAAGCTTATTAAAAATTTTGGAACATTAAATGTGTTTGGTAAAACAAAACAAAAAAAAAAATTATTTTTAAACAATGCTGTCAATGTAAGTAGAAAAGCAGAAGTTGAGGTCTACCATGCTTCTAAAAAATTACTTTTTTTTTTTTTTCAAAGCATATTAATCTTTCATGAAATTTCCAAATGGGAAATACCCCACATGTTCTACAAAATTACAATCTTTGCCCCTACATTATTGTTTTTGACAATTATTATATCTCATTAAATACTATATCATTTTTAGTCATTTAACATATTCAAAGAAATTTATATAAAAGTTTACCAATCACTTAGACACTTTTTTTTTTAATTAAAAGCACTTCTACAAAAAAAAAAAGATTTTCCAAACACTTAACAACTTTATTTTACAGCTGATTCTCATATCACAACAGAAGCATTTTTTTTTTTTTTGAGTCGAGAAGCTGGTTTTTTAAAAGCACATCAATACTAAACTAGCCCTTAGCCAGTTTATTAAGCCTTTGTCTGAATATAACGTAGTAAAAAATTACGTAGTGATGAGGGTTTGAATATTAAATGTGAATTTATTTATAAATTTATTTTTTATTATTAATTTTGTCTCGTACAAGATGATAATTATGTATAGTTTAAATGGAGTAGAAAAAATTATATCAATTCAAATAAAAATTTTCAAATAATTATGTTTTGTTTTGGTCAAAGAAAAAAAATTGAATTAAAACAAATAAAAAAGGAAAAGACGGGTAAAGAAAGATATGCGCACAAAAATATAACAGCCGCCGATTTCTACCACGTGCACTCTAAGATCTCTGGGCCTTCCTCGTGTCATCGATTTGAAACGGAAATCCTCTGTTATTCCCTGTAGTTCTGAAAGGGAGCCCTCAAAATATTTGACACATTGAAGGAGCTGAAAGCCGAAGCAATCGAACCGGCCGAGCCAACCCGGAAGGTACGTCTTGCTACTTCCATCGTCCTCTCTGCATCTCTAGGGTTTCTATATTCTGCACAGTTAGGGTTTCCTGAATGTTGTAGCATAATTTCTATTCTGCTTTCTAGGGTTGTATACGTTTGACTATACCTGACTGTATGGACCTGAACGCCGACGTCGTTTTGGCTGACCCGAGTGACGGGGTTCACCGCTCTGAGCCGGCGCTGGGAGTGGTGGGCGAAGTGAATGAAATGGCTTGTGTGGGAGGTGGAGTGAATGGGGGTGTAGAGGAGAAAGGTGAAGTGGTGGATGGAGGTGATGATTCTGAATTGAAATTAGGACTGTTAGATGGGGATGTTGAGGGGAAAGGGAGCATTGTTTCGTCAGAGGTGGCGGTTAATGGCTGGGAAGGTAGAGAGGGCTTGGAGGGACCGCAATTTGGTGCTGGGGGTGTGGTTGGGGAAAATGTTAATGGGTTGGTTTTGAAATCTGAGGATGGTTTGAGGAACCTTGAAACCAGAAGGGGTAGAGGGGAGGATGCGACTTTAGGGGAATGGACAAAAGATGAAGTTGTGGGTTCTGAGGATGGAGATTTGGTGAGTGTTAAGGCGAAGCAGAATGTGGCAGTTCATGGAAGGGATGACATCATGATAGATGAGAAAGAAGAGGACGTTGTTCGAGTAGCTGATATGGCTCCTGCTGAAATAGAAATGATCAAAAGGTGGAGCAGGGCCAAGTTGAAGACCAGAGTCTTGATGCTTCCAGTTCTATGCGTGGCAATGGTGACATTGAGTATTTGGAAACTGTTGGACAAACAACAAAAGGCACCCCGGCTATGGAAGTGAAAGTTGTTGATCATAGTGAGTCTTTGGATAAAAAAGACCTGAATGTAAGCACGCAGTCTAAGATGGAAACCTGTGATGGACTAGAAAATCAGCCCATGGAAGTTAATGTGGAAGCACAGACAAGTGAGAACAAATTGACCCGTGATGTTTCAGAGAATGCGGTTCGGCAGAATACTGAAAATGGAAAATCTACTTCCTCAGATGGGAATGTGTCAAGTGATAGAAATGGAAAGTCTGCTTCCACAGAACTAGAATTCCGTGATTGTGATCTAGTATGGGGAAAGGTAAGGAGTCATCCCTGGTGGCCTGGGCAGATCTGTGATCCTTCAGCTGCATCAGTGAAGGCAAAGAAGTATTTTAAAAGAGGCACTTACCTAATAGCGTATTATTGGGATAATACATTTGCTTGGAATGAAGCAATGCGGATTAAGCCCTTCTTTGAGAACTTTTCACAAATGGAGAAACAAAGCAACATGGAAGAATTCCACAATGCAATTGGTTGTGCTTTGGATGAAGTCTCAAGGCGGGTAGAATTAGGGCTGAGCTGTTCTTGCATATCCAAAGAAGTATATGAAAAACTCAAAACTCAGATAATTGAAAATGCTGGAATCAGTGAAGAAGCAAGTAGAAGAGATGGTGGCGACAAGTCTTTAAGTGCTGCTTCTTTTGAACCTGTGAAACTCATTAGGTTTGTAAAGAAGTTGGCTCAGTTTCCATATAGAAAAGTTGACAGACTAGAACTTGTGACATCAAGGGCCCAATTATCAGCCTTCAATTGCTGGAAGGGTTGTCCTCCACTGCCAGAGTTCAATATACTTGGTGGGTTGCTGACTGATGCTGACATATTACTATTGGGAGAGAAGCAGTGTGCTGAAGCAAGTGAAAATGCACTTCCAGTAATTAAGGATGAGGATTTGGGGCCGCAATCAAAAAGTAAAGATAACTTACCGCAGAAGCGCAAGAACATGTCTGGAGATAGTATGCGCCCGAGTAAAAAAGAGAGAAGTATACCAGATGTAGTGGCTGAGAAGTATTTGTCTACTCCAGTGAGTGAGAAAGGATTGGAAGGGAAAGTGGGCAGTAAACTGATTTCACAATCTTCCAGTAAGAAACGAAAGGCAGCTGATGCTACATCTGATGACTCGGCAGTAAAGCAACGGAAAATTGAGTCGTTGACAGGGGCTGATAGTAATTCTATACAAAATAAACAGACTTTTAAAGTTGGAGATAGGATACGCAGGGTTGCAAGCCAACTAAGTGGATTGAGCTCAATACTGAAGAATTACAGTGCAACATCTGGAGCAGTTGAAGTTGAGGATAAAGGCAAAGGAAGTGAGTACCCATCTCCTGATAAGATGCTGTCTCAGGTCTGCTTGGCGGCTATAGATCCCATGAATGGATACAGCTTCTTGAGTTCCATGATTACTTGCTTCCAGGAATTTAGGAATACTATATGCTTGGACCATTCCAATCCAAAGGAGGATCAAATGTCTCTGGAACAAATGTTTGGTGGTAAGCTGGTTAAGAAATCAATCAGGAGTGGGAAGAAATCAATGAGCTCCAGCATTACTGAAAAATCCAAGTCACACGAAATTCCTCCTGAGCAATCATCACTCAAGAGTCGAAATGAAAATGAAGGGTTAGTGCCTGGAGCTCCAAGTGATATAGAGACCTCTACTGATGAACAGCAAGCAAGTCTTGAGTCGGATCCCAATTTGGATTCTGAACAGAAAATTGCTGGTGGAGATATTGAGTCAGAAACAGTGAAGCCAGCTCTTGTCTCAAGTGAGAGTTGTGATGAATATCTCTCTCGGACAGCTCTGATCTTGAAATTTTCAGATTTGGAGTCCGTCCCTTCAGAGAAAAACCTGAAGAAAATATTTAGCCGCTATGGGCCTTTGACTGAAGTGATGAGGAATAACCGCCGGGCCACAGTGGTTTTCGAGAAACGTTCTGATGCTGAAACAGCTTTCAGCAGCACAGGGAAATACAGTACTTTTGGACCTTCACTTGTCGGTTACAGCCTCAAGTACCTGCCGTCTAAACCAAGTAAAGCTGCTTCTTCAACCAATGCGAAAAAGCGTGGCAGAAAATGTGCAACAGCACCTGGACGCAATGCAACTAAGTGATACATTTTGTTCAGGTAAAAGCTCAAGAATGAAGTTACTGTTCTGTTTTTCTTTAACGAAACTTTCAAGCAAGAAACCATATGAATTTGTAGTTGACTCGGTATTTTTATCGAAATTGATAGGACGAAGGCTAAATAAATATGTGTATATCCATGTAGCGTATTTCGTAATCGGCTTTCAGAACTTCATAATGTAACTATCTGGTACAATTAGGATAGGTTCTCTTGCTGTGTCTGACATATTTTCGAGCAGTGTCTCAGATTCTCATTTCCACCATCAGAGTAGATTTGAACCTTTTATACAACACAAGTGAAGCTAAACCTGTCTCCTGAGCAAATTTCATCTCCCTCGATTTTCTGTTGATTCTATTTTTTCAAGGTTTGGGTATGCGTCCGCTCTTCAAATTTCTAAGTACTTGTTCGTGTCATGTTTACTTGCTTGGAATGTGTAATTACGGGATTTATTATAATCCTGATTTTCGATTTTTTTCTCTGTTATGTTTACTAACGCATAGGAATCAAAACATACAATTTTTCTTCAATAGGCCGGGAAATGAACGATGAAGATTGACTTTATGGAAATTTTCGTCAATCTTTACCGTTTATTCGCGAACCATTGAAGACAACCCCCAAAATATACGGGGCTCACACATTACAATTTGTATTTCTGGATCTGAAAAACCAAGTGCTAGATTGATTGATTGAGGTGAGTTGATCTCATTCCAGCTTTCCCTTATTCTTAGCTTTTTCCAATCCAAGCAAGCAGTGTCATCTATTTGTCTTCCACTTTTTAATTATTTTTCCAATGCAAGAGTAAAATAGTTTATAAAGAACAAATTGAAGAAAATATGAGATCAACCATCCGTACGTCCATGTTATAGCAAGTGAATTAGTAAAAGACCGCTACAGTGTAATAACGGTCACACTAAAAAATTGCTCGAAATGTGGGTACGGATATTTGATCAATGCTTGAGAGAAACTCTTCTTTACTTTCTTTAGACCATAATCATCATCTTTCAAATTGGTCAACACGGGTATAATTGAGAAAAACATTCGGTAAAGCAGATGTGCTTCTTCTATCGCCTTACTTACGTTTAAAATTTTTACGTAGAATTTTGTTGGTGATAAGAAAAAAGAATATTGTTTGTTTTTTCGAATTTTATTTTTTCAATTTTTAAATGTTGATAAAATACGTAGGGAGGTTAGGATGGAAGCAAATATTCTAAGCTACAATGGAGTATGAAAGTAAATGACCCATTTTTTTTTAAACAAATGATGTTATTTACGCTAAAGGGGAGGGGGTTGACATAGCCTCACAATAGACTAGTAATAATGTGATTCAGATTCGTCCTTGGCAAGATTCAAACATGATACGTTTCACAAATAAAAGGAATATCACTAAATCATAATATTAAGCGGCAAAATATTCCGATTTTTAACTGTTAGATTTTAACTCTGTCTTTTTAAATAAACATTCAACATTTAGAATATCTTATGCTCATAATACAATAGAAAATCTCAAATGAGAGATGGGCCTTATGTAGGCCTATCACCTACTTTTTGATCAATATGGGGGCCCATGTTCTGGTGTGCCCATGCAATAAGCAAAACACCGTTAATCCGGTCAGAGCAAAGTCCACACAAGACGCTCCCCATTTTTTTTATTTAATTAAATAATTACAATTTTGAACCGCCGCTTCTTCGCTGTTCAAAATATTTCGTTTCACCTTCTCCACAGAACGACTGTGCTTTTTCCATCACTGCAGCAACCCCGATCCAATCCTATTCGATTTCGCCCGAGATGTACGAGTCCGAGTCGGCGAACAAGAGGACCGATTCCACCCAATCGAGGCGGCTCAGCCTCATCGACGTCTCGGCTGAGGACGATTCGCTCCTCAATTCGTTTGCTGGAGACAACATGTTTTCAACTTCAGGTCCCCTTCAATTTCACCATTTTTTAGGATTTTTTTAGATTTATTTTCAATTTTTGTAGGAATTTGAGGTTTTCTTTGAAGCTGAATGATCTTGTTCGTGCAATGCTCGGAATGGTTGAATTGATTCCTTTGTTGTTTGAAAGTACATTGAATTTTTTGACACTTTACGTTCGTTCGATATGCAAATTCAGGGCTTCTCGATAGCTGATTAGGTTAGAGTATCACCAAGGCATATTTCATTGTTATCTACAGGGGGAAAGTGGGAAATTGTTCTCGAGCACAATATTAGGTGGTAAATTAGAAAATGAAATCTTAATTTTGTGTGAGGGAAGCAAGGAATTCGATTTCCTAGCACGGCGACACCTTATGTTATGCACGGGCTGAGTGTGGAGGAATGAGAGAAAAATTACTCTTGTGTAATTTTATAATTTCTATATTTCTGCCTTCGCTAGTGAATGAGAAAAATTACTCTGGTTGGTTTCGCATTTTAACTAATCTTTCGCAATGTGGTATGCAGAAGACCAGGAAAACAGAAGTTTTCAATTGTTTGAGGGTATGACTGCTAACAAATTAGAGGATGTGCCTGAAAACTTTGAGCTAACCAAGCAAGTAACTGAACCTTATGAATCACTGGAACCTGAAATGACAAAGAAAAGTGGCAAGTGCAATCTTCGCAAGAGTTTAGCTTGGGATAGAGCCTTTTTCACCAGTGCAGGTACGCTTGTGTGTAGATTTTATTGTCAGAAGGTTTTCAGTCAATGTGATTCAGGTTATTTCCATCTTGCACATTCCAATTCATAGCGGGTGATATAAATTTTGTGGATTCAGGTGTTCTGGATCCTGAGGAGCTGTCTTGCATGATTGACGGAGATAAGACTGGAAAAAAGATGTTACCCGGAATTCAAGAGGAAATTCACAGATCCACCGATTCCATCTCCACATTAGGAAGTGATACTTTGACACTAGAAAGTAGTGAGGCCAATTTGTTTGAAGATGTGAGAGCTTCAATCCAGAAATCCAGTAAAGCATCCAAAGCAGTGAATGAAAGTATGAAAGATGGTTCGGGAGTAACAGAAACCAATAATAGGGGCAGTAAGTATACTTCTATACCTTGTATTCTGTATGAAACAAAAAAGTGTGTGGATTAGCCTGGTTTAGGTGCTCGCAAATTTGTGCTTGATGACAAGGATTGGAAGCAGAAATGGAATTAGGGCCACAGATTTACTTGTTTCTTCCTTTTTCTCCCTATTTTGAAGCACTTAGACATAAATTGGAAGTTGAAGGGATAGAGGGAATTTAACCGATTCTTTACTATACTCTCTCTCTCTCTCTCTCTCTAGAGAAGTAATGTTGGTGTTATATATATATAAATAATACCCTTGTTGAGGGAACTTAGAAACTATGTTGAAACCTTTGTGGTACCACTGCCTTCACACTTCTCATACCAGCCAATTTTCTTGGTAACTTATTTTCCAAACTAACCAGGTCTAGTCATTTTTCAGCTTCGAAGGGGATCAATGTTGTTTCTCAAAACAAGGTATGCCGAGTTAATGCGTGCAAGCTTCAGTTTCACTGATACGATCACAAGAATATCTGAGATAATGTTGTGAATTTCAGGTGATGCCTAGATTTGCTTCTAAGAAGCCAACTGTCAGTGTGCAAAAACCAGGGAAAGTGAAAAAGGCATCTACATGTCCAGACGTATCACAGGCATGTGAAACAAACATAGATATCAATACCAATTATGCTATACCATCAAAATTACTCACTGTTTATAATACAAGCAGTTAGTTCTGGAACAAATACGACTGGGAAATGAATCTGTTTGTCATAGTATAACGACAATTCAACCAACTATGAAGCTATTAATGCTATTTGAATTCAACATTACAGAGATCATATTTCTTCTCTATGCTGATTTAGTCATTTAAACAGTATTAAAAAGAGATCTGGTCTTGATATCCTTAATTGACACATCACTTATGTTCTCTAAATGAAGTCTGATTCTGCACGTGGAGACACATCTACATCTCTTTTGAAGCGAACAAAGGTAATAGGGAAGCCTATACCTAGCCCAAAACCTTTAACCAAGAGGGCTTCTCTGGGTAGCAAACTTATCCAAAGGGAAAAGGATAATGTCAAAAGTGCAACTGGTAACAAGAACTTCTGTTTGATTATATTTCTTCTTTTTTTCTCCTTGAAGGCCGAAGTGTTTATGCTTGTGGTATAAAGTTATCATTCTCTAATCCTAGTTTGACCATTGCAGGTAGAGGGGCTCCATTGCCAAAAATACCCTTAAGTTCACGAGTTCTACCTGGGCCTGGACCATTAGCTAGATCTTCCTTTTTGGATACTTCACCCGGAACCAAGAGAGAAGGAGCTCCTTCCTCATTTGATAGTTCTGGCAGTACTTCTAACAACATTGGTCCCTGCAACTCCAAGAGAAAAACTGATTCCAGGACTGCCAATCCCCCTTCCTCCGGTTCTACCAGCAAAACACCATCACGAATTGAGCCAAGAAATAAATGTCAATCTGGAAAATCTCTTCTGTCAACTAACAAGGTGCCTGGGACAAAGCTGGTTACTAGCACATCCCCTGCTCACTCATGGTCCTCAGAGTCATCGTCGTCATTTTCAACTTTAGAAAAAATGTCATACAGTCCAAGAGCTAGCCTTGACACAAGATCGTCCAAAAGCGGCTCCGTAGGTGGTGATACACCAGATATTCTAGATTTGAAAAACCATATTTATGATCAAAGCTCAATTGGAAATGAGACTCAGGTGACTGGGTTGCTTCGTCAGTGTGATGTGAAAGCTTCAACCGAAAATAGTGGACTTCCTCCAGCTTCAAAACCTTCCGGACTACGATTGCCATCACCCAAAATTGGCTTCTTTGATGGGGTTCGTTTTTCCTTGCCTCTTGATTCTTGTGTTCTATATGGGAAATTATTATCTCTAGTCTCCTAAGTTGAATAAGATAAACTATGCTGTTACCGGAAGGCCTAGGCTAAATAACTTCAAAGTAGCATTTTTGTGAATGTGACGAAACTAATGTTAGCAAAATCACCTTGTTATTTTTCTTTTGTTTCTCTTTTAAATAACCACCTGGTCCCCTCAAAAAATAACCGCCTGGTGTTTTACTTTATGCAGGCGAAAACAACGGTGTCCTCCCCAAAGGGAAGTATGCAGCCTCATCCTGTTGTACGTAGTGGCTTGCCTAAAAGTGGGGTGCGAAGTGTTATCCTGAGTGCGGGACAAAACAAGGGAAAGGTGGGAAAACTTTTACCTGTTAGAAATGTATCTAAATTGGGGAATAAGACCACTGATGCTCAAAAAACGTCCTTTAGCACGAAACCTAAGTCTCCAGTACCACTCCAGCAAGCATCCAGTGCTGCAAAGGTCCTTCGTCCTTCAAGGAACAGCATATCTCCTAAAGTTCCAAGTCAAGGGCCTCATAAATCTGGCAGAGAAAATCACTTGAAGGATGAGAAAGTTGGAACTGAAGAACATGGTACTGACATTAATGAGCAAGAAAACTGTGTTGTAGAGTTAAGGGGCAGCCCTACTTTCTCAAAAGATAAAGTGAGCCCACAATTGAAGGTTCATTCCCATGGGAAGGCAGCAAAAGTCACTCCTATTAATGGCGGGTCTCCTACTATTTTTGATACAAGTTCCACATGTAATGCTGACAACCCCCTTTCTGATAAATTGGGTGATGCAACATAGGAACCAAGTGATTTCAAGCAGTCGGAAAAATCTCATCTCGAAGATCAGGTTAGTGGCTTGAGCAAACAAGTTGGAGCCATGAACATAGACACAGAGATGGTGTTTATTTAAAAGAGTAGCATTTTCTTGTAACGAACCTTTGCAACGCGTGTGGGTTTGTTGATAATTCAAGAGGATCACCTGTGCTGAAGGGAGAACAAGCCGAGATTAGGGCAGGTAGCATTGAAAGTGGTCTTGTTGCATAGGATTGTTCTGTAGGTCTTTGCATTGAAATTGTTTGTTTGGTGCATATATCAACAAGAAGAACGCATTTGAGTTGCCAATTAAATGGTTTTTCGTGTACCCTTATTCTATATTACGTTAAGTCTACTGCATTTCCCCTGCCTTCTCTCTCTCTCTCTTCTCTCATAAAATTCGACCGTTAGAATATTTCACACCCTAATTTGATTGTTTGAATTATACGCCATATACAGTTGCAGGGGTCCCTTAGACTCATTAAATAATATACAATTGTTTTGGGCATACCAGATGGGCCTTGAAAAAGCCCACTAAAAGATGATAAGATCTAGACATTGAACTTATAAGTTAGCCTAACGAATCTAGATGACAGATCACCAAACGAGAATGAATGACTACCACCATCAATGACCGCTCCTAGTCCTTAATTGTATACCGACAAGAAGAGATGACACTTTAAGGATATGTCTGTCCAGACAACAACTATGAGCTACACGTTGGCCATCAATGAGAAAAGAAGTCTACAAAGAACATAAATATTGTCAGGTCTAGCGTTCTGGTAAAGTGATTTTCATGAACTTAAACTAACAGTTGTTATTTGTTGTAACTCCTTTATGGATTATTTGGGAAGTATGCTAAACCGCGGTGTTTCAAGAATGTTAAACTTGCATGGTATGAATTTTATGAGTATAAAACCAACAACCAAGCGTGGATGGCCGGGGAGTTATCCAAGAATATGCTCAATGACTCGATAGACAAAGGAATGATTGACTCATATTTTAGAAAAGCCTCGTAGTCAAATCATAAGAATTATGATACATATTATTAGTTTATATATTATATGGGACTTATATGAGGTTTTTTTTTATATATAATATATTATCTTATAAATTTAACGAACTATTAATTTAGCACATTATTTTTCAAGTTGCAAAATATTATTTAATTGAGGTTATTAATTTAACATGCATTAAATTATTGAGATTCTACTGTTCTTGATTTTTGACGGTCATGATTTGACATTGGTGCTTAAATAGTAAAGAGGTTTTCTTTCACTTGGCATGTTGTTTTTTTTATTCGCCCAAAAAATACTCGGTAAATAATTGAAAATATTTTTGCTCATTACTGTTGACTGATGGTGATATTCACTCTCTACCCTATTGAAAATCAGCAGTTACTAAAGTTCATTCTCTATCAGTATAGGCCCCAAAATTGCTTTGGTTAACATTTGATAAAGTATGATACTTTTGGAGTTTGCCACAAAAAAACAAAAACAAAAAAAAAAGTATGATGCTTTTGGAATAAAATTCCTTACATCGAGAAGAAAAGAGATTCACAAAAAGTATATGAATGGAATATGAACACACTATTTTTCCTCCGTCATTCAATCTAATTCATTCAATATGATATCGAAAAATTAAAAAAAAAAACCGTTTAAAAATGTAAAAATTGCGTGTGCTTATAATTTCTCAATTGAATCCTATCTTTAGCATAACTTCACTTTCAATCCAAGACTCAAAACACATCCAAATATTTTGCGTTTAGTTTGCTTTTAGTACAGATAATAATCATTTATGCATGCTAGGGCCCTTTGATATCCATGATTAGTGAGAGAACAATACTTCATGTTAAACAAATACTTTTCGTAAGTTTTATCTTTTGGCATCCATGATTGCTGAGAGAAGCACTTGCTTTTTATATTTGAGCTAACCCACAATGCTACCATTGTTTTCCCTTTCAGCTAACCCACAATGCCACTAATGTTTTCCCTTTCAGCTAACCCACAATGCTACTATTGTTTTCCCTTTCAAAATTTTCTTTTAAATTTTTTTATTACAAGCGATATTACTACTCTAATTTTAAATTACACTAAGAGGAGAATGATTGGAACCCAAAACGAATGAGTAATGATTGAACCCGAAACGAAATGAGTTAAAAAAAATGACATTCGCCAAGACAATCCACCACCTGCTTTCTTTCGTCTTTCTAACTTGAAAAGGCGAAAACTTTGCGCAAAGGCAAGCAGATGCATGAGCATTTTGAACTCTTTCGTCTGGAAAATGGACAGTGCCCGGGCTTGAATCCGGAAGGTCAGTTCGGCACAAAGGACTGGATGCATTTAGCACAACATTAACATAATGCAAACTGCATTGATCCAATACTGAAACTGATTTAATTAACATAAAATGGAAAGGCTCAAAGTAAAATACAACATTAATCCAAGTCTTTCATAGCGATACATCATGTGAGAAAGGACTCTTCAAAGTTCACCAGTTTCCACATACCTATACAGTCTGCAAATGTCGGTCTTTAACTCCACACGAAACTCGGGTGCTAGCAGCCTAGCACCCTCCAAAATACCTGTCAAGATTACAACAGAACATACTGAATCCAACAAAATAATAGCAAGCGACGATAAGCAACTTGTCACATAATTCTGACTACTTTTGGCCTTTCTTCCATAACACGCCGATCTTCTTTAACATATTCCCATTTTTCTTCTTCGGCGAGTCATCATCCATGTCTTCTGAATAAGGTGAATTCATAGGATTGTAGTTGTTGCTGTCAAGAGAACCTGTTCTCTCAACAAGGTTCCCATTGTTTCCAGTTGAAAGCATGGCAGCAGCTGCCTCAGCGGCCTTCCTCCACTGATCCGCCTGCACCTTTAACTTCCTTAACTCAGCCTCCAGTTCAGAATTTGCAGCCTGTGCTGCATCCAGCTGCTCAGTCACCAGTACGGCTCTCCTGGTACTTTTATCTGCTTCCTCAGTCGCATAGCCAAGTTTCACCAAAGCCTCTCCCTCTGCAGCCCTTGCAGCTTCCTCCGAAAAAACAGCCTCATCATAAACTTTATTCCTCTCGATTTCCTTGTTTTTTAGTTCCATCTTGAGCATTTCATTCTCCTCAGCTATGTTCTGCAATTCTGTTTCCTTATCCAACAAACTTGCCTTCAACTCTACCATTACAGTCTCTGACTTCTTTAGCTCCAATTTAAGTTCAGATTCGTCTTCAGTTGATAAATTTTTCTCAACGTTCAAGGCCACCCCATCATTTTTCTTTGATACACTCTGAATTTCAGTTTCCTTATCCATTAGCTGTGCTTTCAAGTCTTCAATATGATCCTTCGCTTTTTTCAGTTCTGCTGTCAGTTCAGCTTCCCTCTCGGACGCTTCAGATTTTGCACTGTCAACTTCCTCGTACGCATTCCGAATCTGCAATGTGCTCTGAATGTATTCTTCCTGGTACCTGACCTCAGCTGCATCCAATGCAGATCTCAACTGACCCACTTCGGATTTCAAAGAATTCAGCTCTGCTTGTAACTGTTTTCTTTCTTCATTTTCATCTTCCTTAACAAGTTTTACATTGTCTGTAGAGTTTACCGAATGATTGCCTTTCCTATTAATCAGTTCTGCTTGAAGTTTGCTCACAAGACCCTCCAGTGATTTAACACGAGCATTGGATTGCTCCAACTCCAACGATAAGGAGTTGCAAGACTCTGTGGCTTTGATCCCGTCCAATTTGAGCATTTCTATGGTTGCATTTGCCGCTTCCAATTGCATATGAGTGCTTTGTATAACTTCTACTGCCCGGGATTCGGATTCTTTGCATTCATTGAGCTCAGCTTTCAATTTCTCAACCAGGGAAAAAGTTTCGGAAAGTTCCTTTCTCAAGGTCTGGATCTCAGCATATGCCAACTCTGCATGCCTGTTTTGAGTGTCCTCAGACTCGGCTACCCTTTCGAGCTGACCCTTTAGCTTCTGAATTTCATTCATGGCAGAGGCCAGGGCAGCAGAATCCATTGACCGCTGCTTTTGAACAGCCTCAAGTTCAGACTCCCATGCTCTATCCCGATCCTGAGACAGTTCACGAAGCTCTTGAAGACGAGCATCTTCAGAAGTAGAAAGTTCCATCAGTTGCTGCTGGGATTCTTCAAGCTTTGCAGACATGGCTAATATCTGGTTCTTCGCTTCTTCAGCCTCCTGCTGGGATCGTCTCTTCAGTGACTCAGTTGTGTTTAACTGGTCCTTTGTCTTCTTCAGATCCTCTTGGAGTTGAGCAAGTTGTGTTTCCAATTCTGACACTCTTTTCGGTTGCTTCTTCTGAAGCTCAAAACCAGGGAAAAGGGAAGTAAATGAGAAACTACAATCGTTTCGAATTGAATGATAAGAAACCACACTAGATAACCTTCTAGTCGCAACTCTTAAAGACATAAGTTATCATGGAATACCTCAGGTACAGGGCTTCGTGGTGACATGCGCTCATTGACTTTTGGACTTCTGTTTTTCAGGGTCTTAGTCGCCCTATTTGGAGAGGATACAGAAACCGGCTCTGATCCAGGCGTCTTGGTAGTTCGAGGCTTTACTGGAGATCTTCTTTGAGGCACTTCCAAAGAGCCAATTCTGCTATCAATACAAAAAGGAAGTTAAATATCAGAAGACATGCATCAAAGTACTCAAAGTAAAGATAAGTTTCACAAATTGTTGCATCAAGAACACGAAACACAGAAAAAAAGATAGATGCGGATACAACTTTGCTACAAATGGATTCACCCATATCTGGAGGATATACTGCAAACAACCATTTACCAAAGCAATACCTTCTTTGATTTGTCTAACTTACTTTCAGATACAGTGCGATAATAATTTAAGCAGAAAAGAGAGAAGTATTTTACAAAATTATAACTTACAAATCAGCATTTCAAATCTGATGATACTGGCATATAACACAAATTCCGCATGGATAGATATAAATCTGAATCCGAATTCATACTCAGTTAAGTTTAGATGAGGTTTATAAACTTTGTTAAAAACTCAAAGTAAAATATTTCTCAAGCTGTTTATTGCTTTCCTTTTACTTTATTCTAGATAGTTACATATAATTTGAAGCATATGATTTTCGATGACAAGTATCATTTAGAACACCAGTCCTATTTTGCTTTCTCAGCTAATTGTATCACCATTACTTACCCAATATGTCAAAATTTTCCCATAACGAACACAGAAAATTTGAAGTCTAAGAGTGATTATTGTTAAGCAAACAACACTAAAAAATTAAACAAAGTTAATATTCTTATAAAAGAAGCAAATAAATGTTGATCTTACTTTGCTTTTGGTGTCTGCATCTTCAACATCTACTTGTTATAAGTGCTGATTGTGTTATCCTAATTCGATCTCCCTTTCAAATCCCTGAAAGCAGTTCGGAGAAACGATCTTTGGCTGAGATAAAGAAACTTCAAAGAGATTACCATATATATATGCACACAAAAAACACAAGAAAAATGGCTCACTAAAGATGGCTACCTTAGATCCATATAAAGTACAAAAACTAACAAACAAACAAACAAACAAACAAACAACACCTGCCTTCAAAGAAATCCCACAGTAAGCTAACACCACTACTACCAACCAATCCCACTAAATATTCAATATATATTTAAGAAAGAAGGCTGCAGCTGCAAGATTCATCGAGTCTCATTAAACAAGCTAACCTTTTAATTTCCCTTTCTCCCTTTCCCACCTTTAAACTACATTCCAAAAAATGATTTAAGCCACAAGGGACCAGCAGGAGTTAGAAAATGACAACAATAACCACGTGCGATTGCCGTGGCTTAATTTTTAATTTGCATCAGTGCTCATGACAAAAGGAGGATCTTTCGGTAATAATTGATTTAAGTGTGGGCATACTGAACCCAGCGGAAGCACAAATGAACCCCATTTCTGTTCTTTGATGAAAATCCACTCTCTTAAAATTTAGCTGCAAATTAAAAACTATGACATAATATTCTTGGAAATGCAGCAATGCAATAAAATGCAATCAAAAGCGTTCTTAAATTATAGTAAATTACAGAACCAATATATTAATGAAACCCATAGATCTGTGAACCCCAGATTCGCACAACAGATCTACAGAAAAAAATAGAAACAGGAAAAACTCAAAAGAGAGACTATGGGAATAGAGCTTCCTGCTTAGCAAAATAGGGAAAAATAAAATATTTTGCGGTGGAACAAAAAATCTGAAAGAACAAACATGAAAAGGAAGAAACTTTAGCTCTTCTTCTCCAGCAACTCTTCAGAAATTGCCTTGCAAAGTAAGAGACTTTCAGTTCAAATACCACCAACCCACATTTTCATTTAAAAGCACAAGTTCCCAACATTTAAATTAAACCAAAAATATAACATAACATAAGAACAAACTAAAAGCAACAAAACCCATAAATTAACTGTCTAAAACAAGCTCTTTAAACCCAGAAAAAACAATTAACCCAAAAATAAACCCCAGAAAAGTTGACACATTTTCCATAAGAAAGCAACAGAACCCAGAAATTCATAGACTAAAACAAGCTCTAAAAACCCAGAAAAGACAACACATTTTCACCAGAAGGTAAAAAATAAGAGTAGACTCAAGTTGAAAGGATAGTATCAAATGGGAAAGGTTTTGCAACGAAAACCATGACATCAAAATACCGTTAGAATCCTCCTCCTCTTCGTAGTTTAGATTAGATTAGAATGTCGTTCAAATAAAAAGAAAAAACCTTGACATTTGGCCTTACCACAAAGATCTCTGCCTCTGACTAGGGTGGCTTGCAAATATTCCTCAGGTTGGATAGTACTAATTAGCAGATGTTTGGCAAAAGACAAGAAAAAAGAAAAGAAAAAAGAAAGAGGCTTTGGAAATGGCAGAAAACCCTAGAGCTTGCTTGGTTTAGAGTTGCAGCAGTAGCATTGGGAGGGTTTGGTAGCTTCTGCAGTAGCTGCTTCTGTGTGCCCACTTCCCAAGTGAGTGAGACTCTTTCTCTCCATTTCTTTGTATTTGTCAGTGGAGGGAGGGAAGTGAGCAACAGACAAAAGCAATGCCTAAATTGGCTAATAGAAATTTATAAATGTTTTTACCCTCACGCGCCTATTAATCCACACGTTCCCACTCACATGGGTTTGCTGATAGAGTGATAGTAGGTCTTAGTCTTACCTTCTGTGATTGCTACAGCCACCCGAATAGTTTTTGAGTAATTATCATGGGGTGGCTTAGCTGCAGGAGGTGAATTTCAGATTCATATTAGACACGATACATTTTGAGTTTAACTTCAAACACTAATGAATTACACGATGATTAATCAGGTAAAATTGAAATATTTCTGTTAATCTTTTCAATCTTTAAAATGATGAATTACGTAACGAAACCATTAACTAATTCTTTTTTTTTTAAATGGTTTTTGGGGCGAAGAGCAAGGCTTAATTCAAGTTCCAACATCCAAGAACAAATGGGGTTATTTAGTGATTATATATAGTGTACTCTCCCATCTTAAGCTAATCTCCAATAATTTGTTTCCATTAGGCCCCCTATGCATGATTTATTGGTCTCTCAATTCCCTTATAAAACTCATTTATTTGGTTGTACAACGAATCTTAGGTACCCTTCATGATATACGTAACTGATCTTGATTAAGAAAAAAGATAATGACAATCATTCAGGTATGCATGCATTAGCATGAGTTGTTTATTGGTGTGTGTTGTACGTAGGCATTTTACAATTGTTTAAGGTGAGTTTGATTCACACACACACATATATATTGTCCGTCAGCAATTATTTTGGTCATTCTGTGAAAATTCTGTTAAAAAACTTTGTTAAATAAGGACTTAAATGAGAAAAATATTGTTAATTTAATAAACAATAGACCAAAATGATTTGACAAAATTTGAGTATTTTTGTCATTTTATCCTTATTTAATGAAGATTTTTCACAGAATAATCAAAATAATTGATGGTGGACAATCTTAGTGATCACTTCTATTAATTTCAAATTTCAGAGACCAAAGTGAAGAGTTATACTAATTTCAAAGACCATTTTGGATAAAAGCCTCTTATAATCTCCAAGCTTTACTCTCATAGAACTCAAGAATTGAAATCAGTCCCATAAACTTATTTTCCGCAATGTGCAAGAGTTTGATTCTTATACAATTCGAATCAAACTTAATTGTCTTGCTTATTGCGGAAGGTCTTATAATATTACTTAATAAAGATTGCATACTTAATTAGGTTAGGAGATTATTCATGACCCCGATTTTCAATAGTGTGAATAAGACTTTCAAGTTATAATTACTCAAAAATAATGGAGAGTAGTTAGTTCTTCTCAATTCCCATGTTTTCAATTTGATTCATTGAATTAGAGCATATCATCCTTCACATACCCACCTCTAAACAGCTGGTTTGCACAGGCAATTGGGATACACTTGGATTTGTCAAAGCTTCAATTTTTCAAAGTTTTTGTCAATGATTTTAGACCCCATTGGCTATAAACTCATCAATGTGTAGATCCCAATTTGTGGATCTCCAACATTTGTCTTTCCATTGACCTAGGACTCTTGCCTGGTCAATGCAACTGATTTTTTTTTTTTTTTTTTTGTTTTTTTTGGGGGAAACTAATGCAACTGATATTTAGTAACTGACAAGACAGATTGATTAGGCTTTGGATGCATTTTCAACCATCACATGTGCTAAGTCTTCTGCTTCGGGTTACAGGACACAAATGGCTGGTAAGTAGCTAACTAGTTCCCTTCTTCCATGGGGTCCCCCTGAAATTGCACCAATGGGCCCCCAAAACTAGGATACTAACAAAGAACAATATGGGCAAACCGCCTAATTTCTGCATGATCAATCATATCAAGCAGACGAGTTGTCTTCTTGGAGAAATTTTTGGATACAGACGTTCAAATCACGTTAATATCTGATTACATACTTAAAGTGCTCAATCCCCCTCTTTTGTGCACTTACCTCTTTTTGTCTGATAAAACAAATTTTATCTTGTTCTTGTTACAATCAATCATTCCAATCATCAAACTCAAAGAGTCTAGTATTGTTATTTATTGTCACTACATTTCCATGTCAAGATGGAGCATAAGTTTGTTTTGAGCACTCTAATTTATTCAAAGTAATAGCACTATATGAGAGAATTTCTTATGTGTGGATGCTTAAATCACGTAATTGTCTGATTGCACACACAAAATGTCTCATCCTCCTTGTGTCTAGTGCCTGTATGGATAACCATGCACAAAAATTATTTTGTGTTAATACTACAGCTAGTCGTCCATGCGCGAGTATGTGATTCCTTCTCATTGAAGCAAACAAGACCCACAATGATAATATATCCAAAGTTAGGATTCGTCCAACGCACACATAGGCACCCAACTTAGCCTACAGTAAAAGCTTAAAAAATGCAAAAAACAATGGAAGATAGCCTTCACATATATGCCAAAGTATTGTCAAGTGTCCTTGTAGTGTGCATGGCATGAGTTGATATAATTAAAGAAGGGTATCATTCTTTATTTCTTTAATTGTGGCATTTCAAATGTGAGTGGAAATAAAGGTCACCCATTGATATATACTAGTCCTATATTGTAGGACAAATGGGCAATCCATATGTTTATTTGTACAAAGCCCTTTGCTTTGTCTGCAATGAAAGCAAGTTGGTATCATATAAAATAAGGTATAATTTTGTTCATTTCTTTGAACTAAAAGAGGTAAAAGCAACTAACAAAAACAAAATATCCATCTGGAAAGCAAAGGGCAAGTCACACTCGTTGCTCAAAAGTGGATTAGAAAATAAGGCTTTGGTTGTTGTTTTAAGACTTCTCTGAGAGGGATGGGGTATTTTAATACATATTAGTCCACAACAACTTGATGTATCATAGGCTAGCGATCCGATTAGGGTTTTTTTTTAATAAGTAAATTAGTTTGTTGCTTGTTTGTCTGTAAATTACATCATTTCTCAAACTGCTAAGGGAAAAAATAATGCCTTTGCTTAACTAACAAACATGCATTTTGCATTCTAATTGTTTTATATTGTTATCAATATACAATTCTAAGATTCTCATTCTAAAGACCTGTGAGACCCCTTTTATATGAGTCCTCAGATTAATCTTATGGTAGATTAAGTCATCAACTTAAATAATCTTTATTACACTGAAACAAAACACTAATTCACAAAACCAAAAAAAAAAAAAAAAAAAAAAAAAGAAAGAAGAAGGTTTCACGTCAGGTCGAATCTCTTCCATCTGCAAAACCTAGTCTCCTCACTGAATATAAAAACCCAGAAAATCTAATTGCATAAAACCCTAATAACTTTAGACATCCAATTTCATCGAATCTTTTATCAATAATATTCAAATCTAGTTAGTTACAAACACAAAAAAATTGAGATTGTGTGGTTTCGAAAATTGGGATCCCCTTTTTTTCGAACACATGAACCCTTTTTTCATATGAAATTTTTCGACGATGATGAAAATTTTAAAATAGATCCCTCTTCTTTTTTCATATGCGAAAAGTAAACAACAAAAAACTTAGGTGGAGTACAGGCGAAAAGGAAACAACAAAAAACTTAGGTGGAGTAAAGGAGAATGAATCATCAAGAGAGAGATGGAGGAAGGAAGGGGATGTGGATTAGAGAGACAGTAAGGGAAGAAGATGGAAGACTTCACGCGAGAATTCTTTTTAATTTAATCACTTCGTAAAATTATTTTGTTTCGTGTATCATAAATTATATAAGCTGATGGTTTAATTTACCATAAGATTAATCCAAGAGCTCATAAACATCACAAGTCTTCAAAATGAGAATCTTAATCAATGTTACTAATTGAGGCTCAGTGGTATTTGTTTTCACCATATAAAAAAAAAATTCAAATTCGAATCTCGAATGATTAGAAAATTGATATTCATTTAGTATTAAACATATATAATGTCACGCTTTTTTGGAGTTGATCAAATCAAAATCTTAGTGCAATGTAGGATGATATGTAGTCATTTTGGGATTGGGTTCAGTCCTCATCAATTCACAAAGCCTTATTCCGCTCAAGGCGTTAATTATGAGTTGTTTAGAAATGATTTTAAAATTGTTAAAAATCCTTTTATAAAAGTGCTTATAGTATCTATCTTAGTAAAAATACAAATGAATTTTAGAAAAAATGCTTAAAGTGCTTCCTAATTAAAAGAAGCATATAACTAGTACTTCTTAAAAACGCACTTAAAGTGCTTTTCAACCCTAAAAGCACTTGAACCAAAAGCATTTGATAGACACTTCCAAACATGCTCTGCAGGAACAATTGGGCAAAGTCCAATATTTATACAAGACAAAGAAACAGAAGAAATCTAGAAAGTCCAAGTATAAAGGTGGACTAATTATACAAAACAAGATGAAAATTTAACAAAAATGAAGATTTATATCTTAAAATATGTCAATCAGATCACACATTACACAAATTGATCACTAATTAAAAATGTAATGTAAACTAAAATAATTACGAAGTTTCTCGTAATATGACATAAAGTGCATATATAATTCCTGGTATATACCCAAATAGCGTCAGCAATAAGGCAATCCAAAACTCCACCTGCAATTTCACAAACAAACCTATATAAAAAAATAAATATAAAAAAAAAAAAACCCCCTAACACCACACAAAAGCGATGATAATACTTTTTAGTACCATCTCAACGGACTCTAGCCACGTAACTTGAAAGATATTCAGTTAACGGGTAAGATAATCATGTAATTGTATAAACAAAAAATTGTTTTCGTCATAACTTGCTAAACTAGCTTCTTACGATCGCCAAATGAAGATATATAACTGCATGATTTGCATACACTTGAAGATAAACATACAGTTCTATTCAATCAATATTAAGAAAACAAGTATTTCAATGCATACCCATTAGATTCCAACTTTGCGTGGACAGATTACTAGATCGCCAGTTGAAATGGTAAATGTAAAAGAACTCTCATTCAATACAAATGGTGACAATGTGACTTACCGCACAGCCATAGCGAATGATGACACCAACTGGTGGAAGAATTATGGCACATACGACTTCTACGCATGTCCTCATCTTATTAATTAACTGAGTTTTTATTGCTAATTCGTTTGTGGGAGAAGCCTTGTAATCTGAGAGCCGATGAGAAGAACGTGCAAAATTAGTTGTGGAAAACCGCAGGAACTAAGGCTACGTTTGCATGGCCAGCAATACACGCGTCTATCATTCCACCAAACAATGCTTTGGTGGGTTTACCTTTTAGGATTATGGGCTTGGTGTGCTTTGACGGGTGGATGTCATACACCAATTACCTAAAAGTATTAGAAACCATCCTTTTTCGTTATTGGAAAATTTTGAACACCAAAAGATATTTTAAGAAACAACCAAAGGTATTAGAAATCCATTCATGTGGTGTTTTTATGGGGAAAACTAGTCCTTGATCATGGACGGTAGCAGCAACTAAGTCCATTCAAAAATCAATCTTCGTATGAGTCGCTATAATTTGTGATTGTTACAAACTGCGGGAGTTATGTTCTCTAGAGTATCAATCAAAGCTCCGTCTTCAGGGTCCTTTAGTTTTAATTATTGCTCATTGCAAAGGTCGTTGGCTGGAGGAAATTGAGTTCAACTCCATTGAAAGCACCAATGTTGGAGCCAAAATTGTGCACATCCCTTAATAGAGACGAGATCCAGTTACAATTGTCCATGATCTCCGACGAGGGTAGATGGGGTTGGTTGTGGGGTGTGGTTGAATACAGATTGGATTGCCGTGTAAGTATATAGGAAAACAAATTAGGCTCACTTGTATATTTTTGTTTTTTAGAAGAATATAGAGATATTCCATTGATAAACAAGAATAGCTACAAGCCTACAAGGGTTGCCGTGTAGATATATTCCTAAAGTAACCAATATATTGCTATGGGGATAATTTGCACAAACAAGCATGCAAACATGATAGTCCTCTAAATGGCTACCATAAGCACAAGAACTACCGGTACCAGCTCAAGTATAGCCATCACACATCTGCCACAAAGACGGCAGCCTCAAGAGACCTACATTGTGGAACATGCAATGTCATCAACAATAAGCGAGACCACACAAAATCATTGCTAACAAACGATGCCACATTGCTTGTTAGTCGGGACATCACCAGCTAGATGCGGTACAAAAGTACACTAAACCTACACTACTGCGAAAACAGGAGCCACTGATTGGCTCATCTTCACAGCGAAATAAGAACACCCAGCTAGGACCACCTGCGACTTAATTAACCGGTTCTAGAGAGATCCGCAACCACCGAGAGAAAAGCACCGCGAAGCCACCACAAATCTGGCTAGGTAAGGCGGTGTCCCCGCTAATTGCTCAAGAAGAATAACTCCACCGTGGAGACCAAGCCATAGGAGGTGGATCTGATTCATCAAAAATAAAAAAGGAAAACTAATAAAAAAGACTTGAAGACTTTGAGCTCTAACGATAAAAACAAAATAAATGGTAAAGTAAATAGTACCATGATTGACTTTTTAGTATAAAAATGTGATTTTTCGTTAAAGTAAACAGTACCGAGAATTTTTTGTTAAAGTTCTCAAATAAAAAACCAACCAACCCACAAATTTGGCCCCAAATCAAGGGTAAAAACCTTGAGAGGAGTACAAATTTTGATTTGGGGCGGAGGCTCCAACAAAGCCATTGAAAAAATATTTGCCCACAAAATGATGGGCGAGAAAAGGTGCTAGTAGCAAAAAGTGGATTCGGTAATTTACAGAAGCAATTCATGTCGTTCTATGTGGTTGAGCAATAAAATGTATTTTTCAAGCTAAACGTTAAATGTTTCAAAGAGTAAAAGAATCATGGAATAGACACTATATTGCAGAGTTTCAATGATACGTTTGTACCAGTAGTAAACAAAAGTATCATTAACATAAGTTGTCCTAGTAGGAAAGAACGATATATTGCTGATTACAGGAAATAATTTCAAGATTTTAAGGGAACCAATTAGCTGAAGGGACAGCTATTTAAGTTATTTTCTTATGTATTTAAAAATATAACTACTTAACAATGGTTAAGTAAAGACACATAGAACGTTTTATGAAAAGTGGTCACGCTCACCACCAAGCAAGGATGATGAGCAAATTCTCACTCTAATACTATTATTAACGCTAGATATTTTTAGGCCTATCAGAAGACTACGAAAGTTAGGAAGAAGCCCAATGTAAAGCCACGCAAGCCCAAGATACCAAGAAGCCCAAAATGAAGCTCTAAAAGAAAGAATTCCCGAGTTATCTAGGTCGACCGTTACAGTCGACCGACGGATTATGCATTAAGTTTGAACTGCCAGGTTGAGTTTCGATGTCAAATGACATGAGCACGTGGGCTAATTGACAACTTTATGGCACAATGCTGAAGAAACAAGCTTACTTAACCATCGACTCAGGACATGTGATGATTACCAACCAATCAAAGTCTATGACGAGACACAAGGCAAAATTGGATCGTCGAGCTCAAGCAGGTTGCTTGGCTCTCAGAGCAATGCTAGGCAGATCACCAGAAGAATGCTCAGCATATGGACTGCTTAGCAGGCATGATGCTCTACAAACGACTGCATCTCGAGGAGCCCCACAGCTAGACTACCATTAAAAATGAAGGTGCGTTGACTGAGACCAGATATTTGTTAGATTAGATATTTTGGTTTGTATTTATTAGAGTTGTTGGGAAGTGCCACGTGACGTGATGATTGTTTAGGACCGTCCGTTTGACATCCATGTGAAGGGTGGGTTTGCCAATTTAAGGCAGAAGGGCAGAAGAGAGAATGGGAGGCTGGTGGGGGGAGAAAGGCTATGTTTGAAAATTTTCGAGATAATTTCAATTTTGTTTAAAGAAAAGAGTATACCATGCATTACATGATTACAAATTTACACTAAGGATATAGCTATATATTATAATGTTCTACAACACCAACATGTTACATGCACACGTTGTGAAAACTGTAATATCGATATCAGCACAAATTTACAAGACGTACTCATACTGATAAATTAAGATTCGTCCTTTGTGTGGCAAAATTAGCTATAGCTAGAAAGCTCAACTAGTGAAGGCATTCCAATTTATAAGGTAGAATGGTCCCTCACTAGAAGATTAAGAGCTCCAACGCAATTGTTACAAAGTGTCAAATTGGCCTGCAAGTTGCGGCCAATTGGTTAATCATTTGTCCGTCTCATGCATTATTGTTGTAACCTAGCTAGCTTGCTAGTTATATATGCAAGTATTATTTCAGACGTAACTTCCATACATACATGCATGCATTGTTATGCATTGTTTTGTGGAATAAATTCCAAGGGTTAGCTGGCGTACATGACAGCGGATTAACAATAATGCTACAGTATTCCATCCATTTGTTTCACAGTGCTTGTATCATTAACCCTAGACCCTAAACTTTTGCTTCTCCCGCTCTCCTCTTTCATTCATCTTCTCTGTCACTGAAATAAGTATATCTGTCAGTTTACACTTACATGATCCTCAACATTAACTTAGGCATACCTTATGCCCAATTATTCAATGAAATTAGGGTCCACTGGGGTTTACTACTTCATTTGTGTTTTTTCTGTTTTTTTATTCTCCGTGAAATTAGGATGGGATCTTTATCCTCTGGTGAAACTAATATCTCATTACCCAGTTCAAACTCATCCACCAACACCACCAAGTTTATTGTCACTCCAAAGCTGCCACATGGCTTCAGTCCTCCGGCTGCCAAGAGTGTTTTGAGGTGCCATCTCAAAACTTCAGCCCGAACATCTCCTAGACATTCCAGTTCTTGCCAGGCTCTGCAGCTGTTGGCGGTTGCTGGTCCGGACCCTTCATCTGGATGAGAAAAATGTGTCTATGACATTGGATTCACCCAAGGACTTCTCGGAATGGACACATTCTCAAATGCAGATGGATCGGTGATCCAGGGATTCGTCATAGGTTGTTGTACACACAACACACAACCACCTTGTCTTCGGAGATAATAGGTTGGCCATAAGTGAATGTTGGGCCTTGGGTCAGGCCACCCCACATCTACAAAGCGTCGGATGATCAAGGCGAACCTGACCACTACGGAATGGGAGCTGTTCTCAAGTTGCCTTCCTTCCGTTGAAGAACTAACAACGTTGACAAGGGTGCTGCAACACTGGACATTAGGGATGAGGCGGGTATAGATAGCAAGGGAATCCAATTCACTCCGATCATCTGAGGCCCGGCTGAGGAGGAGTACTTCAAGTACTACCTAAATTTCACAGGAATTACTATGATCTGCTGTATGGCTTCTAAGATGCTGGGTCCAACTCCGATGATCTGGACATTAATCATGCAGATTTCATTTTCCTCGGCAAATTCAGAAAAAACCTGAGACAACTCCCTCATTGCCCTGCCGTCGAAACTGAACTCAATTCTCGGAAATAGATCATGTGGATGCCACTAAGTCTGACCAAATCGCCTGTGGCGTAGCACAAGTCAACTCTTGTCTTGCTATCCGAGACAGTTATGACTCCATAACTGTGGCCAAGTACTCGACAACATCGGAGCCATGGCTGCCAAGTCCTTGTGAAGGGATATCGAAGCCATACATGGCTTCGTAATAAATGTTGGAACCCCGCTGACATTATTGCTGATGCAACATACTATCCGTTGGCAAAACGTGTCGTCGAATACTTGCCCACAAGGTATGGAGTCGTGCCTGTCCCGGATTGCAAGACAGGAGTTGACTTGTGCTATGCCACAGACGATCTGGTTGGCCTTAGTGGCTATCCAAATGATCTGTTTCCGAGAATTGAGTTCAGTTTCGAAGACGGGGCAATGATGGGGCTGTCCCAGGGTTTTTCTAAATTTTCTGAGGAAAATGAAAGCTGTATTATTCTCCACACCGTCGGAGTTGGACCCAGCATCATAGGGGTCATACAACGACAGAGAGGTTTTTGTTTGATCTCAGCAACTCTGTCATGGCCTTTGCTCCAAACCAAAGCTAGCATGATGTGTTCTCTGTTCGGTCTCCAAACGTAATAGCAACTGTACCAGTGTTGATTTATAACTATAATCTAGTTAATAAAAGGGGTACCATCCACACAACCATTTTTACTTCTCACACAGCCTTGTTAATTTATGTCCGTTGATCTTCTTCAATTTATCTGATCCGACGGTTAAAAACCAAAAAAATGTGGAAGAAGTAAAAAGGGGTGTGTGAATATCACACCCCTTAATAAAATAGTGAATTCTTTTTCAATCCTTGAAGAATTATCGAACCCCTATTACTATCTTCGCAATAGAGTGAGTGAAGTGATCCAAAGAAGTAGGAGTCGGGGAGGATTACTTTTAGAATAATACCATGTATAAGATTAAAAACTAACTTTACACTATGTTTGGATGAAGAAATTTAAGATTACTAAGGAATTTTAAAATGACGGAAATTGAAATGACGAGATTTTATATTCTAGAATTTGTGAATTTTCTTGTTTGGTAAACCTAAAAGAATAATGGAATTGAATACGGAATTTGTTCTTTTTAAACTCTAAATCAGAGAAATTGGAAAATGACACCTATTTACATGGAATTTAAACTTAGGAATTGGAGGTCCCAAATCCCAAGTTTTTTTCTATGCAGAAATTCTAAATTTCTATGCTTATGAATCCAAACAAGGGAATTGGTGCATGTCAATTTACAAATTCTGATTTTTACCTAAATTCCAAGTTTATTTTCCTCATCCAAACATAGTTTTAGTCTTTGGGATTAGTTGTAATGATCAAATATTAATTACGTTGTAATAATTATTGAGCTTATATTAATTAGGTTGTAATAATTATTGAGGGTTATATATTGATCCTCATAAACAATGAAAATATTATTTGACAATTATTATTAAGTCCCACAATAAAAAATGTCATATATATATATATATATATCATATATTCTTTATCGTGAGTAAATTTCTTTATATATATATATATATATATATGCATATTATGTACCTATGTATGTACTATAGAAATGTGCCAAGATATTTTGTACCGAAACTTATGTACTGATGCAATCGTACTGAAACTAATATATTGATACATTCGTACCGAAACATATGTAATGATACAACGGCACCAAAACTTATGTACCGATGCATTCGTACTAAAATTTATATACCGATGCAATTGTAATGATACATTCATACTGAAACTTATGTATCGATGCATTTGTAGCAAAACTTATATGCTCATGCATCGTACATAAACTTTGTACAGATACATTATACCGAAACTTATATACCGATGCAATCGTACCGAAATTACGTGCTGATAAGAAATTGAATTTTAATAAGTTTTATTTATTTATATGATGGAAGCACAAGAAAATACATTAATTATGGAAGGATAGACAATTTCGGATGGTCAGTTATAAATAATAAATGTGCTATAAATATTTAAATATGGTAAGTTTTAATAATAGAAACTTAAATTAGATTTATAAAACTATTCAGGTTACAAACTCTTATTTAAGCCTTAAAATCTATAAGCCCCTTAAATGTGCGCTCTTATAAGTGTGTTTAGAGACGGTGTTAATTATAATCCAGAACGTTGCAGAGCATGTCTGAGTCCTACAGTTGGTGAGACTCATAAGTTCGTTTTAAGGTGTTAATTACTAGTGGGGTGATGAGAATGGCACACCACCCATGTGAATGTGATCCATTTAGGCATATGAAAGGCCTGTTTTTGTAATGTTTAGCGTGCTGGTTCATGTGATCCATTTTGGAGGCAGTGCTTCCATTCTTTGCGATCATATATAACGTCAAAAATAAAACATCTTCCATGATTATGAAACATGTAAGAGATGGGCTGCCATAGTGAAATATGGAAGAGATAACTATAGAATTGCACAGCTTCGTACATCTATTAATTGGGAACTTTAACGAAAAACTCCCAATTAATTGTATTTGACGCCTAGCAAAGAATTGTAAAGCGGCATACTGAAGACCAGCTGGTACCTGCAAGAGTCCACTCCCCTTCCTTTTGTGATCATAGTTCTTCTCGATTGTTCAATGCCAAAGCTGGTCTCAGCCGCTCATCCACCAACCAACATTGTCGAACGACTGTCAATGATATTGTTAAACTCTTAACTGTTCTGCAATTTACCACAATTGGAAATCGGGAACAAGTTAACAAGTAAACTGAATACGAAAACAACGTCGATAGTAGTAAAGTTGATTGATTCGTTATCAAATAGCTTGCCAAATTCTTAAATCCCATATAAATAGTGGAGAAGATCACCTGAAACAATTACAAGCCCAAGTTTCTTGAAGTGAGTTTGTCCCCGTGCAAGGTAATCTTCCAGCAATCAACTTGAAATATAAACACAGAAAACTTTTTGGGCACCACTGCAAATATGCCCCATACAGATAATCAAACCATCAGCATTCCATTATCAATAGCATGAACACATACGTGTTCACTTTAGGTTCAGTTCAAAGTTCTATCAACACGAGTTGTACCAAGAACATCTAAATAAATTAAAGCTTTGAATCAGCAGCTCAATTACCTCTGAATTTATTATCCTGTGTAATTATCCCAAATGTTTCTGCTGTTTCACGAATCATGATACCACTCACTCCAGTGTATGAAGTTACTTTACACTCGGCAACTGCCAGTAAATAGACAGGGAACTACAGTAAGTATAGACAGAGAGAAAAGGGAAGATGAGGGCGTATTTGACACTGCCAAGCAATGTGCAGGAACGAGTCCAGATAGTTCAAAGGACATGCATTTGAACATAAGTTCATAACTTGATATAGAATAATGTATCCTTGAGCCATTCACATAAGAGAAGAACAAAATAACTTAAAGGAGCAGAATTAAAGTCCTAAATAATTCCCAATTTTGATCGACAAAAGAGATAAAAGGTTCTCAATTTTAGGATGTTTGAACATGTTGGAATTACAAGAAGCCATAGTACAAGTGATCTATCTGGTGTGATAAGAATTCGTAATATGGCTTGGAGGATGATTAGAGGTGAATAATGAACAAACAGTATGCACAATGTTTACATTAAGGACAAGAATGGGCAGTTATTAATGAAAGTTATGAAAAAGTAAGAAATAAACCTGAAATAATAGCACCATGTAGATCTGCACTAAGAATACACTGAGCCAGCTGATTTTTTCTGCGGGATTGAACAAACTTGTGGTTAGTTTTCAACATCGAAGACTAACAAAATGCAAAGCATATTGCCCCCCAAAACTATAGATGCTTAAGAAAGAAACGATTAACCATTAAAAAGTATACATAACTCTGATATCTGCAATGAGAAAGATATACTCACCCAGTAGTTTTTAAGAGTTGCATAATATAGCCTTTCCACAACTCATGCATTGGCTTAAATTTATCAAAGCTGTGATCCAAACAAAAGAAAGTATTAGAGAGTGAACCATAGATGGAAAAATATAACAAGTAAAAAAAAAATTGTTAAGATCTTATCATCAATCACGGAAAACATCTCTCCAGTTATTGAAGGAGAAATATATTGATGATAACCAGTAAAAACAAGCCATTCTGAATCGTAAGCTTGTAACTTCAGGATCAGAAAAAACAATTTGCCTAGCGTATCATTATTATTGTTCACTTGTTGGAAGAAGAAAAATAAGTATCACAGATTCACAAATGGCAACATATGCTGAGAAACACAATTCACCTATGAAAATCTTTAGGAAAATCAAACAATCCCTTCCTTTTTTGCTGTTTCATTGACATGTGCTTTTTAGAACGCTTGGAATGAATCTGCAGGGCCCTGGCACTAGAGCCAGTTGAAACGCCACGTCCTTGCACATAGTTATCGAGGAGAATCCAATTGTCAATTCTCTTACTTCTGGATCCTTGCATGTACTTCTGAGCTGAGTCTCCACTCTGAAGAAGCTCGTGCAAAACCTTATCAACTTTACTCTCCTTTCTACCGCCAGAGACCTGCATTTCACAAACTAGATCTTAAACCAATGACTTAAACCAAAAATTTTGCTTCAACTTCACGAAAAAGTACCTCAACACTAGTTGCCAGCAGATTCTCATCAACAGATTGAACTAGTTTTGCATATGTTGGACCACTTTCGTCGATCTCTGAATAACAAATACAAGCAAAATAAACATATAACCTCAATCCTAATCTCTTAAATTAAACTACCAAAAAATTTTGCCTCGATTCACTAAAACTGAAACAGTACCTTGTGAATTAATATACCCCGAAAAAGTGAAAGCTCCTATTAAGAATAAAGACGAGAAAAATCAAATAATCATAAATATACAAAATCATAACAGAAAAAAAAATTTAATTAAATATCTGAAACTAAGATTTTCACAAACCTTTCTTAAATGGAGTTGAACTTGAGGCCGATGGATTTGCTAAATTTGGTAAAGAATTAACAGCCAAAGAACTTGCAATCTGCGATTTCTTTCCAGCTTCATCGGTTTTTGATCTCTTGACAGTCTTCTTTTGATGTAAATCGAGCTCGACTTGGGCAGCCTCAAACCTTCGTTCCAATGCCTTCAAAGTGCGTTGGCGTTGATCGTCAACAATTGTTTCACCGGCCATGGCTGCTTGAAAAGATTAAGGAAAATTGGTTTAGTATCCCTTTTACAAACCCATCAACTGAAAACAGCCCTACACCCAAAACGGAATCTCTTGCTAGTAATTGGACAAAGAGACAAAACATAACAAAAATAAAATCAGACAAGAACTAGCATGCAATAAACAAAACTACAGAATATGATATCCATTTAACTACACAATACTAATAGAGCCTTTGGCTGAATGGTCCATATGCAATAACTAATATGTTTATAAATATCCAAACATTTGATCAAACACCAACTGGTCAACAAACACCTTATGCAGAAAGACAAGCATAACTAAAAGAAAATAAATCATGAAGATATATACCAAAGGTAAATCCCAGTAAACTCTCGGATCATTCATTATGTAGTTCATTTTGTGAGAGTGCTATGTGAAATGAAAAGACCTCGATGCTGAAGAAGAAACATTTAGACATGAAGTAATGGATGACTGAAACTCAAAAAATTCTAGTTGAGAAATTAGATCACCTTCAGATCATGACCCAGTTAATGAATGATAGAAAAATCAAAAGGGCATAATTCAAATATCAAAGAATCTTACAAATGTGCCCTGAAGATAATATGAGGTTTAAAAAGAACATAAAAACAAACAATAGAGAACATTAACAGATAAGATGAACAACAAGACCACAGCAGAAATGAGAATTCAGAAACAAAGATGATACCTTTATTAGCAAACCGAACAAGATAAAGTCTCAAAAACTCAATTTCCAACAAATTAACGTAAAATATCTACTAAGTAACTGAATTGCAAAGAGTAGCAAAAATAACACATTACAACATAGGATTTCCAAGAAAGAGAGAGAAGCATATTCATCAATGAGAGTGAAATCAGCCAAAACTAAGCCTAGGAATCCAAAAACAAAACCCACAAGAGCTATCCCAGGACCAATGAAACCGATTAGTAAACTGTCCTTCGTTCTTGGGCAACCTCCTCCGAACCCTCAACCGAACTACAATTCAGTGAAAACCTAACCATTTGCAGGATCCTGTCAAAATTTGAATCTAATTATTAGAGCGGATTAAATGTTCAGCAAATCCCAAATATAACTTGGAATGCAAAAGTATGAAAGGAAAATGTATTCGTCACAAGAACTTAACTCGTCGTCTAAATCTAAAGAAGACGAGCTGAAATCTCGGCAAGATCATGTACTCTAAACAGTAAAAACCTACGTCCTACAACCATTGATAAAGCAATTGAAAATGTTACAATTAGGCAGTCAGTTCTATTTGTCCAAAAAAAAAAAAAGGCAGTCAGAGTTCTAATGCCTCTAATACAATTACACACCTCCTCAATGGAGGTAGAAGAAAGGGAATTGAATTCCTCTCCAACACCGAAATTGCCCTGCCCCTCCCATCGGCCTCCCACCATTCAACCACCCACCCATCCCCACCCTTAACCGACGCAGACCACCGCACCACCTCCCAGACTGCCAAGACCTATCACCAACCCACCCCAACAGTTCTACAAACAAACTCCGGACACCCCAGATCCAAATTCGGATGGGGAAAGAGAGATGCAGATGAGTATAGAAAAAAAGAAAAACCTTGTGACTTACCCACTACGGATTGAATTTCGATTGCAGACGTTTTTACAGAGAGCATAACATAAAGCATTGAGCGGCTGGCAAATGGTTGAGAAATCCGAGAATGGCCGCAGGCAAGGAGTTCATGATTTACCGCCAAAAGGAGATCTTCAGGCCGATAGAACCCGACAAGGTCAGGATGGGCAAGAGTTGGCGCTTGGGGATGATCGCAAAAATAATATGCGGATGCAGACGGGGAGAGTAGAGAGAGTTGTGGTGGAACCGTAGAGGTTCCCGAACCTTTCTTCTTTTTTCAAATTTTTTTTTTTTTTTTTTTTTACTTCTTTTCCTTGCTGAATTAGGTTTTTACTCTTTAAGAAATAAAAAAAAGTTCCAAGTTTTATTAAAAATAAATATATGAGAATTGTTAAGATTTTAACAAAACTGTGTATGTGTGAAATTGTATTAAAAAGTTATGAATTTTTTTATTATTAAGATTAAGGGTATTTTAGTGATCATATTAATTTTCATTTCGATTCAAGTGAACTGGTAAACAACTTATATCATTTTAACTCTGATTCTAGGACATTATAGTAAACAACTTTGACAGGAATTTGATTCTGACTCCTCCCTATTTCAATTCTCCCTCAATACAATTCCTCATCAATTCAATTCCTCTTATTTTGATTACGGATTAGTAAACGAACCATTTAATCCTTCCTAAAACCATTCAAAACAGATTTCTGGACTATCGGATTTCAGCAAAATCCAATTTTGGGTTTTTATCAAACAGTTTGGGGAGGCAATAACTTTGGCTAGAAATCCAAAAACATAATAATATGAAAATTACATAAACACATATACCCTTCCAAAACCCTAGTCTAAGAGTAACCCATACAAATTTGAAAAAAAAAAAAAAAGGGAAATTAATAGATAATCAAATTTACCGGAGGGGGGGAGATGAAGAGTGTAACGTACCTTGGTTGCGTCAAATTTTGAAGCTTCTTAGAACCGAAGGACGTCGTAGCGAATAGTGTTTAGGTGAGCTGATCGGTTGATATTATTTGGGGTATTAGGATTTCTGCAAAGACGTTGAGAGTTTAAATGCACCGTCTGGTTAAAGTGGAGATACAATTTGGGCTTTTAGAGACTACCATTGATTTTAACCGAAATTACTAACAGGGAATTTTGGAAAAATGTTTGTTCGGAAATTTAAGAAGAAAAAAAAACAAACAAAAAGAAACCGAATCAAATTTAAAAAACTTAACTGAACCGAAATTTATTAGTAGTTTTGATTTTCTGCCGTTTAGAATCCAAATTGAACCAAAACAAGCAAAATAACGTCGTTTTATACTTTACCCTAAGGTTATTCTTTTTAAGCATAAACAAACTATTATTCGAACTCGTAGTCACATCAATTATTAAATTAACATTACGCATTTATCTTTAGTCATCTCTATGTGGCATGACATGAAAAGGCAGTAGAGGAAATTGTTGTCAAATTTGACAGTAACTTCAAATTTATTTTTAGTAATTAATAAATACTTTTTATAATTTTAATAGTTATCTTTTGTTTTAAAATACTAATTAAAACTATAAAAAGTAAATAATGTAATAAATAATAGTTTAAACTAGTAATAGAGCCCGCGCGTTGCTGCGGGTTTTAAAAGTTTATAAAACATGTATAAAGTTGTATTTCAATAGTAGAAAACGATAGTAGGCAAGAGAAGCAAAGAGCTAGGTGCATAACAAAGCTTCAGTAATGCATAAATGATTTCATCAAATGTAAAGGAAAGGATTGCTAACTACTAAGACATGCAACTAACACAAAAACAGTTACTCTTGAGCTTACAATTATGAATGTTGTTTGATCGAGATTATTCAGCTCAATCTGCTTTGTTCATCTATTTCTTACGCTTTCTGTGTTGATCTCTCGACCCTGAAAGGAATAACAATATCAATACAAAAACAGTCAAACATAGCCACAGAAGCCAAACACCAACAATCTCTCATATCCTCCACCCAAAAACACATAGAAAGAAAAAGGAAGAATATGTACGTGTTTTCTCCTCTTCTCTTTTCCTCCTAAAGATACTCACAATGGATATCATTGACAGTGATAATATATTATTGTTTCTTTGGTCAAATGTAATCTAATATTATCAATTGGTAGTTAGTTCTAAAACATTGTTTTTGCAAAAACAACGAAAAAAGAATGTTGTAGAAAGATGGATCAGATATATTTGGTTTGGTGTCTCTATGTAATATAGAGATATAATGTAAAAATAAAAATGAGTCAGCATTAGTACGTTAGAATCAAACTATTCAGATTTCCATACAAAACAAAACCATATGGACCCCATTTTTGTACAATAACTCGCAGATGCTGTAAAATACGTCTAATACAGGGCAAATAAATACTGATAAAAAATTGTCAAATGATAAATACAGGCTTCTCTAAATAAGCCCATGCAACTACACACATAGAAATAAATCGTTAATAAGAATATAAATATGTATACCATGCCTTGAAAACAATGAATAAATTAAATCATCATCTTGACAATTATAAAGAAAACCAACTATATGATTAACAAAAATTAAGCCTAAAAAGAAACGCAGGACATAAAGATCTATTATAAATTGTCGCTTACATCAGAAACAAATGTTAATTTATTCAAAATCAAACATGGAAAAATATATATATATGGAAAGAAGAGAATAGATAATAAGCGCGAACAAATTTTGTTCAGATTATTAATTCATATTGCAAATCATAGGTCAGAAATTGAAACCAAATGATATCATTAAAGAATAACTTTTGTATTATGTCTTTATATTGATTGCCAACAAAATGGTCTTCTTTTTTTTTTTTTTTTTTTTTCCTTTCTCAACCCAAAGTAGAACCACCAAACCCTGTAATGAAACAAAATATTGTTCATAGAAAATTCCAAAAATTTAATTAGATTTAACCAATACAGTCCTAAACCTATTTAATCTGAAAAATATAAAAAGAATTTTGTACATTACAAAATCAAATCAAATCATATAATCTCAAACATTTTATTCATACCTTTTTTATTGTCTTTATACCGATCACCAACAACCTTTATATATTTTTACTCAATCTTTGAAGGTGAATTTTTATAAAAACCTGCAATCATGACCAAAAAAAAATTAATATCACAAAGATAGAAAAAAATTGCAGCCTTGAATATTTATAACATCAAGAGAAGGACCACACAAAGATAAGATTGATCAACAAAGATACATTTGTCCACCAAAGTCCAATAAAATACATTCAGAAAAGCTGTTCAGTTTTTACACTTATTGATCAAATGGACTTTAAAAACGAATTCAAATGAACTAAACGGAAAAGAATAACAAAAATTATTGTAAAAAAAAAAAAGAATTTAAGCATATTAAGACCATGCACTGACTAACTCTTTGACTAAATCATCAACACTCTAAATACGAATAAATAAATGTGCAAGTAGAGGTGTAAAGTAGAGGATCCCATAATCGTCCCAATGTTAATTTCATGAGTAGTTTAGGAAGACATGTGAGGACAATAATTACTTTGTCAACTGATTTAAACAATGAGATTCCAAAAAAGACAACCCCGTAGGAGACACACTATAGTTTCTGCCCACCACAGAGCTTAATCTCTGTCCACACACTATCCATACCCCTTACTGAATCAAAACCCCTAAATCGAACTGATCACAAAACTGGATTACTGCTCTTACTCTGTTAGACATACCCACACTTATCAATTTACACATAAATTTCAATTCTGAATCATTGGGGTTTCCAAAAAATTCCACAGAAATGCAAAAGTAGACAAATAAACTGAAACAAAATTATGTGCACTGGGGAATCAAGACTCACCCAAAATTGCTATCCAATGCCCTACAATTGAGAACACGTTTACAAAGCCTTTCAAAGGCTCATATTCAACTTTCATATGCAAAGACTCTAAGCTCCAATTGTTATTTCTCAACTCTAGTTACTTCAGCTGCATAACAGAAAGAAAAAAAAAATTATTTAACTATAATTAACTAATCTGATTTAAGATTAATAAAAAAAAAGTCGGAAATTTCAGCTTTAAAATTACATCTCAGGCTGGAAGTCGAATAAAAAACGTAGAATTTCAAAACTCCTCACCTTAATGTCAGAAACCCGAAAAACCGGATCTCCTGAAACCAAAAAGAAAACCAAATTAAATCTGAGGCCAAAATTCCCAAAATCACAACCAAAAAATTTAAATGAAAAACCCGTTTATAAATCCAAATTTACACTCCCAAGCACATAACATTCAAAGCCCATACCAAATCGGCAGCAGGAAACGTGATCCGCTCCAAATTTTCTGCAAATCGAGATCAAACTGACTATTTTTTAGCAAGCGAGCGTTGTCGTCTGCAGCCTCCGACAAAAGGATCTAAACAAATTTTACCGACTTAACCATTTTTTGGAAAAAGCCGAGACACAGAGAGAACTCGAGATGGGAGAGCAAGGCCAGGATTGAGAGAAGGTTTGTGAGACAGAGATAGAATTGGAAAGAAGAGTCCAGAAAAGAGAAAAGCCGTAGTCCACGAAGAAGGGATAGCCTCTTCTGAAATCATCGACGACAAACGCGTGGCAAAGGAGGGTAGCGATGCCATTTCACTGTAGCAAAGATGGCAAAAAATTGACTTAACAAACGAATTGAGGGGCATTTTGGTCCGCACACTGCTCTGGAACAGTAACCAGAAGTTTGGGTTTTAGTATATATAAATAAATTTTAACAAAACTATATGTGTGTGTATGTGTGAAATTGTATTAAAAAGTTATGAATTTTTTTTATTATTAAGATTAAGGGTATTTTAGTGATCATATTAATTTTCATTTCGATTCAGGTGAACTAGTAAACAACTTATATCATTTTAACTCTGATTCTAGGACATTATAGTAAACAACTTTAACAGGAATTTGATTCTGACTTCTCCCTATTTCAATTCTCCCTCAATACAATTCCTCATCAATTCAATTCCTCTTATTTTGATTACGGATTAGTAAACGAACCATTTAATCCTTCCTAAAACCGTTCAAAACAGATTTCTGGACTATCGGATTTCAGCAAAATCCAATTTTGGGTTTTTATCAAATAGTTTGGGGAGGCAATAACTTTGGCTAGAAATCCAAAAACATAATAATATGAAAATTACATAAACACATATACCCTTCCAAAACCCTAGTCTAAGAGTAACCCATACAAATTTGAAAAAAAAAAAAAAAGGGAAATTAGTAGATAATCAAATTTACCAGAGAGGGGAGATGAAGAGTGTAACGTACCTTGGTTGCGTCAAATTTTGAAGCTTCTTAGAACCGAAGGACGTTGTAGTGAATGGTGTTTAGGTGAGCTAATCGGTTGATATTATTTGGGGTATTAGGATTTCTGCGAAAGAAAGAGGTCGACTTACCAGCGCGCGCAAAGACGTTGAGAGTTTAAATGCACCATCTGGTTAAAGTGGAGATACAGTTTGGGCTTTTAGAGACTACCATTGATTTTAACCAAAATTACTAACAGGGAATTTTGGAAAAACGTCTATTCGGAAATTTAAGAAGAAAAAAAAAACAAACAAAAAGAAACCGAATCAAATTTAAAAAACTGAACTGAAATTTATTAGTAGTTTTGATTTTCTGCCGTTTAGAATCCAAATTGAACCAAAACAAGCAAAATAACGTCGTTTTATACTTTACCCTAAGGTTATTCTTTTTAAGCATAAACAAACTATTATTCGAACTCGTAGTCACATCAATTATTAAATTAACATTACGCATTTATCTTTAGTCATCTCGCATGACATGAAAAGGCAGTAGAGGAAGTTGTTGTCAAATTTGACAGTAACTTCAAATTTATTTTTAGTAATTAATAAATACTTTTTATAATTTTAATAGTTATCTTTTGTTTTAAAATACTAATTAAAACTATAAAAAGTAAATAATGTAATAAATAATAGTTTAAATTTGACATATCGGTTAGAGAACAAAATTTATAAAAAGATCAATGTACCACATAAGACCAACTCCAATGGTTGGGCTAAAAGCCAGATTTTTTAGCCAAAAAAAGTTAGCTTTTAGCTCAGAAACAGCTTTTCTGCTTTAACCATTCTGGGCTAAAATTTTAGTCCGGAATTATTAAAGAATGAACTTAGGCTATTTTTTTCTTAAATTAAATTAAAAAAAATGTAGACTATCATAAATTAATTTTATGAACATTTTAATCTAAAAATATTTAAATTCAGATAAATATTGAAAAATCACTAAATTTTCCACAAAGCAAGCCTTCAACTTTCACCAATCTTTCAACCTTAGGCTAACTTTCAATTCACCAACCGTTCAACACCAAATTTTTTACATCAAAGTGTGGAATAATAAATAGAATAATTATTGAAGGCATCTAGATTAATAGAAACAATAATTAATAAGACATAAATTTAATAAAGTACATAAACAATGATAATTATTAGGAATTCAATAGAAACAATAATTAGTAGGAGAAAATTGAGTTTTGTGTGGATGTTTGAACAAATACATAGGTATTTATAGAGTTTTTGGGTGAATTTTGAGTTAAATAATTTTTTTAATTATTTTAGCCGTTGAATTTAAATTTGGGACGTTAGATCTTTTTTTTTACTGTTAGATTTGATTATATTTGATTTCAGTCATTGGATTCAATGTATTTTAAAATAACATATTCTAAAAAAAAAAATTTTGAATCATGATGGTTGGATCAACCAACGGTCCTTAAACCTCAGCCATTGGATGTCAATTATAGTCGTTGGGATGATGATGTTGGCCAACAACCAGCTGACTGCAGGGCCCACTGTAATAACTCGTCCCGAGATTTACGGAACAAAAAGGGTATTTTCGTATTTTCACTTTGGTTGGGTTTCTTTTGTTTAAAATAATGGTTTTTGGTTCTTAATTGGTGAGCCCAAGGGGCCCACCCCCTGTTTTGTCCCCCGGTTCCCTTCCCATTTTCTTTCTTTTCTGATTTCTATGACTCTTTCTCTAGCTCTTTCTCTCCCCGAAACTCTATGCATCTCTCTCTTGACCTTACTCTTCCCTCCTCACTGTCGAACACACACACAAACATATAAACACACGACGGCATCACCACCATCGTTGGGCCTTTCTTCTCTCCCTCATTCTCTGTGAAGCACAGAGACCACCCAATCATGCTTAGCACACCTATGCTGGCGAGTTCTACTATTCCCGACTAGGTGAGGCTCGAAATACCATCACTCATTCTTCATTTTCAAGGATTTGGTGGTTTAAATGAAAATAGGTATTGTCTTGGGGACGTTTTGACACAGGAAAACCACCTCAGAGAACTAAACCCAGATTCCAGAAAATACCCGTGGCTTTCAGGCCACTTTTTGGCCAAACCACGACGAGTTGGCCGACGTGAAGGTATCAATCTCTTCGTCTCGCTGAGCACTACAACTTTCTTTTCTGAATCATCCAATTTCGTTGAGTATTGAAGAAGTTATATCCATTTGAATCTTACCCAATTTTCGGCGACCTCCGAGGCTTTTAAGGTGTTTTCCGGCCAAACCACGGTGAGTTAGCATCCTGTGAGGTACCTTTCTCTTCGTCTTTTCGAGAGCTATGCTTTTCATTTTTGAATCACTCGATTTCGTTAAGTATTGACAAAGTTATGGACGTTCAAAGTTTGTCTAAATTCCGGTCGAATTCCGGGCTTCTTCTCCAGCGTAAAACCCAACCCAAGAAACCACCTAGGCCTTCGGGCCGTTCTTGCCAAGCCCAAAACCCTGGGCAGCCCAACCTAACCCTTTTATTTCTTTTTATTTTGTTAATTTAAAGGCCTTTGGGCCATTTCCCTTTAGGGCCTTAGGCCCGTGCATTCTAAAACCCAAATCCATCAGAACCCAAACCCAAGTCCAAACCCTTTGACCTAACCTGGTCCAACACAATACCCTTGACTCAGATTCGTTGACTTTGACCCGGTGTCAACGGTCAACGTTGACTTTGACCGTTGACTTTTTAGGTTTTCATGCGAGACCCCTCCTAGGCTAATTTTGACGTCCTGAATCTATGTTTGACGTTCGTTTTCCCAAATTAATTCGTTTGAGTAGAGTTTGACTAAATGTACCCTTTATGTGCTTAGGAGCAATTAATTGTGGCGTTCTATCTTCGCTAGTTGCGTGGCTCTTCAATGGCTAAGTACTATGAGTGGACCCCTTCTAAAAATGCATGTTTTGATAGTAGAAATGCATACATGAAAAGCATGATTTGATGACTATGTTTTAAGAAACGTTTTATGAGATAACATGCTTACTAAGACTAGTTTAAATTATTACTATTTTTCCTATAACCCCGTGTTCTTATAGAATATCCGATGGATGATGATATGATATTTAGAACATGTTTAGAACACCTTTTTATAGTATAGATGATGGATGACTTTATACTATGAAGTTGCTTTTTAATATATGTATGTTCAATGCTTTTGTACTTACCTAGTGGTCATTTCTGCTACGGGACGTAGGGATATATTCTAGTCTGTCCCGGGTGACGGTTTGGTGTTGGTATAGGGCCTGGAGTGTGTTTTCTCTGGCTATTAGCACAGGGATGGGGAGCTGGCATGGAGCCTGAAATGTATTCCTCTAACTATCTGCTCAGAGATGGGGAGCCGGCATGGGGCCTGGGGGTTATCAAACATTCACTAGTGATTACTATATATACAAGTTATGATTTGAGACATTGCACGGCATACTAGGTTTCGGAAAACTTATGTTTATCATGATATATATGTGATTTCATAAAAACTTTGGGGTTAGTACGTTGATAACTGTTTTATTATATATATATCAACTTGGTCCACTCATGTTTGTTTTGCCCCCTTTAGGACTTAGAATCGAGACGTACAATCTCGACGTCAAGGAACTTCCGCATTGACATCTTCGAGTCCTCTCGGCATCACTCACGTCCTTTCACAAACCTAATCAAATAAACACCGTTGGATGAGACGGTTTGGAAAAGACATTGACCAGAACTAACGGTTAAGATCGAACCAGGCATAAATTAATGTTACCTATCTGGCGGTAGAGAATAATAAATTAAAAAGAACATTCCCGTGTCACATGGGCCCAGCGACGTACACTGAAAACCGGCAGTTCCAGGTCGACAGACAGCGTGGGCAGAACCGCCCGACACGCACCGCCCAACACGCACCGCCCGAGCCGGTCTCCAGCCGTTTAAATCACGGCGTAGCAGCCGATGACGTGGACACATCCAGACCGTCCGATTCCACTTCACACCAAAAGTAAACTCGGCTCTCGTATTCGACTATGCATCTTCAACCTCAAGCACCGAAAAACGCTTTTCCGTATGAAGTGCTTGCAGAAAACCAGCGTTGGCGAAGGGCCGACGAGAAGTGCATAAGTCAATTCCAGTAAAAAGCTGAATGATTCAGATCAGAGAAGCAACGGTTTCAGTGTTAGGGAAAGCAAAAGCTAAAACGCCGCTGAGGTAAGGTTAGCAATGCAGAGGTGCATTTGGCTTTTGGCTTTTGCTTTTTGATGCATTGAATA